GATCCAAGAGTCTGACCCAAGAGTCTGACCCAAGAGTCTGATCCAAGAGTCTGACCCAAGAGTCTGACCCAAGAGTCTGACCCAAGAGTCTGACCCAAGAGTCTGACTCACAGTCTGAGTCAGAGTCAGCAGTAAAAGTGGATTTTACATGATAAGTCCACTTTAATGCTCACTATAGTCACATTTTGAGTATCCCTGTGTTCCACGGACAGTGCAGAGACCTGAGCAAGCAGTGGGAGCGTTTATATCTGACCCTTACATTGGTGTAACATTTTCCAAAAGGACATGTGGAAGAACACTAACTTGTGAAAGGTTGTAAAAAGGAGAACAAACACTTGATGGACAAATAAACTTTTTGGATGGAGCCCCTGCAGTGTTACAAAAATCTGGAGGTGCACGATCAGGTGCTGTGACACCACGCTGGGCCAACGTGCAGGGGCAGGGTGGTCCATGTTGGTGTTCAACACATCAACATATAAACCTGCCTTAAATCTTTACCTGACCGTTACACTCTGCCAAGTGACATTGGTATAAGACGGTTGTAATTCTTTGTGTAACCACATGGTGGCAGTACATCATTGTTTCAGTCAACTAATCTGGAGAACAATTAAAAAATAAAAACAGGTCCAAAGAAAACTGAAAATGAAGTCCTGAGAAATTGGAGCATTGACATGATAAACTTCACATTTGTCTTTTGACTTTGTTATTAGAAAAACACATTCTTTAGGACCATCTTTGAGCTTTCAAAATCCAACAAATCTGAAACTGTTGAAATTTTTCTAGTTATGACACAGGAAACATCAACGCTTCAGCTGAAGGAGTAAACATCAACACGGCCGTACATCTGATCAGAGACTTTGAAGGACGACTGAAAATCAATAACATCACCTGTGATGCCAAAATCAAAAAAATGAGGGCGGAGTTCAGTGGAACGCTTGGGTAAAATGCACAAATGCACTAAAACATAAAGATTAAATATCTATGGAAAAATCTGATGTTTGGTTAATATTGTCAGGTAGAGATATCAGATTATCAGAGAAATTCTTAGATTTTTATACCACAATATATAAACAATCACTTTTCAATGACAAAAAGTATAATGTAGATCAGGGCTATTCAACTGAAATGCTCAGGATGACAGTCACTCAAAGCCTGGACATCTTTTACCTTTGAATCTTTTACCTTTAATTGGTTTGTTTGGCATTGAATAATAAATTAAAAATGGATGTAGAATGTATTTTCAGATTAAATGAAGTATATTTTGGTGTTTGTGGGGAGCTCATTGGTGGGCTGCCAGTTGAATAACCTTGATGTAGGTCATCTTCCTTCACTGTCATGAACCTCACCTAACCAGAAACATTTGGCTTTTTGAAGGAGAGTCTATGATGTCCTGGGCAAATTCCTGACAACGGGTCTGCGCCTCTATCTCAACAAGCAGGTAGTGTGTCCAACCTGGTGTCCAACCTGTTTCTGTGTCCAACCTGGTGTCCAACCTGTGTCTGTGTCCAACCTGTTTCTGTGTCCAACCTGTTTCTGTGTCCAACCTGGTGTCCAACCTGGTGTCCAACCTGTGTCTGTGTCCAACCTGGTGTCCAACCTGTGTCTGTGTCCAACCTGTTTCTGTGTCCAACCTGTGTCTGTGTCCAGCCTGGTGTCCAACCTGTGTCTGTGTCCAACCTGGTGTCTAACCTGTTTCTGTGTCCAACCTGGTGTCCAACCTGTGTCTGTGTCCAACCTGTTTCTGTGTCCAACCTGGTGTCCAACCTGTGTCTGTGTCCAACCTGTTTCTGTGTCCAACCTGGTGTCCAACCTGTGTCTGTGTCCAACCTGTGTCTGTGTCCAACCTGGTGTCCAACCTGGTGTCCAACCTGTTTCTATGTCCAACCTGCTTCTGTGTCCAACCTGTGTCTGTGTCCAACCTGTGTCTGTGTCCAAACTGTTTCTGTGTCCAACCTGCTTCTGTGTCCAACCTGTTTCTGTGTCCAACCTGTGTCTGTGTCCAACCTGGTGTCCAACCTGTTTCTGTGTCCAACCTGTGTCTGTGTCCAACCTGTGTCTGTGTCCAACCTGGTGTCCAACCTGTGTCTGTGTCCAACCTGTGTCTGTGTCCAACCTGTGTCTGTGTCCAACCTGTGTCTGTGTCCAACCTGTGTCTGTGTCCAACCTGTTTCTGTGTCCAACCTGGTGTCCAACCTGTGTCTGTGTCCAACCTGTGTCTGTGTCCAACCTGTGACTGTGTCCAACCTGTGTCTGTGTCCAACCTGTGTCTGTGTCCAACCTGTGTCTGTGTCCAACCTGTTTCTGTGTCCAACCTGTTTCTGTGTCCAACCTGTGTCTATGTCCAACCTGTTTCTGTGTCCAACCTGTGTCTGTGTCCAACCTGTGTCTGTGTCCAACCTGGTGTCCAACCTGTGTCTGTGTCCAACCTGTGTCTGTGTCCAACCTGTGTCTGTGTCCAACCTGTGTCTGTGTCCAACCTGTGTCTGTGTCCAACCTGGTGTCCAACCTGTGTCTGTGTCCAACCTGTGTCTGTGTCCAACCTGTGTCTGTGTCCAACCTGTTTCTGTGTCCAACCTGTGTCTGTGTCCAACCT